TTTTCTGCTGTTTGTTTACAACAGCGGTTTGCAAACTTTCTCTCTGGATGGCCAGATAGTATACAACCCTATCACAACTATAGCTTTCAAGCAGCCATAGATGTTACAGAAACAAATGGGCTTGGCTTCATTCCAATGGAATTATATTTACAAAACTGGGAGGCAGGTTAGAGTTAGCTGACTCCTGCTTTATATAATAGGCCCTGGCACGCAGTGACTTGAAATGGGGAAATACCTATTTAAATTGGGCTGTAGGAAATTAACAAATAGCCAACTAGCACAAATTTGAATTTGGTACCTCATGGTACTTTGGGAGGAAGAATTTACTGGGGGAATGTGTGGACCTAGTGAGTCCTCCCTGTCATGGGCATTCTACTCAGTGCCAAGTACTACTAAATCGATCTCAGAAACACTGAGTCTGAGGGGAAGGCACAGAGAAAGGGAAGATGTTCATCAAAGGTATAGCACTTCTGCTTGACTGGTGGCACGAGTTCCACAATCTATTATACTGTGTGGAAATCATGGTTGATAACAATGTAGTATATTGTTTCTAATTTGCTAAAATATAAATTCCTCTTTATAAAAAATGATAAATTGATGATATGACAGATATGCTAATTGATTCAATTCATACTGTTCCCTAGAAATACACAGAAGTTCTCTTTGTTAACTAAAATAAAAATCAAAAGTTTCAAAAAATGAAAAAACCTTATTCCTGTAACCCATGAGGAGTACACTAGGGCCTCCAATCATAATCTTGTCACTTCTTAGGATTGCCTTCCTTTGGGTAATTATTTCTTCCGAAAGGAAAGACTAAACACAGATCAACATCTTTATGTCTTTAAGAACTTCTGACTACAGGTTTGCTAAGAGAAAATGGCCTCAGGCAAACATTAGGCAACCTCTGCTAAGCAATGGCTTAATTCTGAGGAGTACCTTTGAATGACCTAAGATCCCAGTTGCCTAACACTGCCAAAAGTGCATTTCTTCATAACAAGGTTACATTTAGCATGCAGGCAATGGCGGTTATGAGTTAGGGTCAGCACACAGTGCTGCTGTGAACGTGTTTCACAGTACCCACTCTTCCCAATTTACTATGACACTTCTGTAACTGTGCACATAGACTTGGGAAACCTAGAACTCATTAAGTAGGTAAAGCTTAGCTCAGAGAACTTGTGTGTGACATTACAAATTCAAAGGAGCCTGAAGCAAAAAGATTGTGGCATCTCAGAAACCAGAGGAGCCTCAAAAATAAAAAGAAATCTCACCTCCCCAACTATTTCTCCATTAATAATTAAATAGCCTGAGGGTTTTAAAAATTAAATTAGATGTATAAATTTTCTGTGTGTTTTGCCTGCATGTATGTCTGTGCACCTCATGCATGCTGGTTCCTCCACAGATCAGGAGGAGGCACTAAATCCTCTGAAACTGGAGTTCACAGTGGGTGCTGGGAACTGAACCTAGGTTCTGTGCAAGAGAAACAAGTACTCTTAAACACCAAGCCATCTATCTCTCCAGCCCCTAATCATTTTTTAAGTTATGTATGTGCTTTCATCTTAATGCTATAGCTTTCAGACATCATAATGGAGCAGATAAACAACACAGGCAGAAATCTCAAGCTTTCCTTCAGCAGTATGTGGTAAGGTTTATTTTTTTAAGAATTATCTTATTATGCATGTGTGTGCATGTTTCTGTTTATATGCATGCATGTGCCCACAGAAGTCAGAAGAAGGCATCAGATCCCCAGGCATTAAAGGTGGCTGTTAGTCACCTGATGTGGGTGCTGAGAACCAAACTCAAGTCCTCTATAACACCTGTTGGTTTTTTGTTGCTGTGGTAAATATCAAAAGAGAAACAAAATATGATTTTTTTGGCTCAAAATTTCAGTTTTCAATCCATGGTTGGCTTTCCCTTCTTCCTGAATTATTAGTATGAATATTAACTCCAACACAATATATACTACATACATCCTATTACAAAAATTTCCAGATATATAGCAAAGTTGACAGAATATACATGAACCATCTATGCTCTAACACCATTTTATAAATGTTATCACACATCTAGCCACTTATTTATTCCTATCTACATCAATTCATTTTAATTTTGTAGAATTGTAAGGAAAACCATGCATATTCTTACATTCCTCTACAAAACATAATATTATATTTTTATTTCTAGACAATGAAGTTCTCTTCTTCAAATAGCTTACTATTTTATAAGAATTTCAAAAGCACCTCCCTTTATGTCACAATCATATTAACATCACTGTATCAGAAAACAGTAGCCTTAGATTTGGAGAGAAAATTAATCACAGTTACTTCCTATCACAATTTCTGTTTGTTTATGATGAAAAACTCTAAGACTATTCAATCTCACAGAGGTGGAAAGGTGAGTCACCACTCTCTAAGCATATTTCAGGCAAAGCTGCATTTATTTATTGCAGGCGTCCTGTGGCTTAACAGTTTTTATAAATAGACTGTTTAATTTTATTAAAGTAAATGCTTTATTGAATGATCTGGAACATTTCTTTTAGAAACTGAGCAATTTTGAACATAAACAAAGAGTTCTCAAGAAAGATATAAGAAATAAGTCTTGCCGTTTAAATATGTTTGAACTTGGAACAAAGCCAAGAGACACAGAAAGATGTCTGGAGAATTGCTCTCCAACAAGAACAAAACCTAAATTGTATACAAACATTTGTTTTAACCACCACACATACACATCTCTATTAGTGCAAAGTCAGACTGTGACCCCAGCCTTTGTCTGCTGGATCAAAGTAAAGAAAATACAACATTTCACTCTTACCAGGAATCCCACTCAGTAACTTCAGCTACTTTCCTAGTCTCCCTGTGCCTCAACTTTAGTAAGTTTTTAGGGAGTATTAAAGTAATGACTATCCAAACCAGAGAGACTCATGCAATCTTAGCATGTCCTAGTTTTTTTTTTTTTTTTTTTTTTCCCGAAGGCATTTAACCTGTTTCATTTCCCCTAGATAAAACTTCTCAGCAGCAGATTAAATAAAAGGATGTTTACAACTTAGGCTATCTCATTCAGTCTCTACTAACATACATTTCTCTTTTCTTAAAGCCCTGTATACCCTATTACTGAAAAAGAAACAGTGAATTTCATTGGGGTTGAAAGCATCCAAAACCAGAAACATGAAAAAGTTAGCATTCCCCAAGAGAAACATCTCACAGGACCAAACAGAAAAGTTTGAATATGATACTGATGACAGCAACAAGAGTCACGCTATCTCAGAATGCAACATAGAGGAAGAAATGTTCACATTCACAAAAGATGAGCTTCCTAGGGCAGAGGTTGCAAAAATACAGTAACTGCTTTACAGTCAAAGAGGCCAAAACCACAGTGAGGCTGTCACGCATACACTTTCAATAGTTCTTATTCATGTTTACAATTTTGAGCCCCTTAGCAAGAAGTTAGCTCATCAGTTTCCCCTAGAAACAAGAAAAACAAAATAGCAATGAAAGCAAAGAGCAAAGCCCTAAGTTCAAGTACACGTGACTTTACCCCAATATTTTTAGGATATGCTCATGCACATAGACTGCTACATTTAAGATGAAGAGCCTCTTGAAATATGCTAACACCATTCAGATAAAAAGGCAAGATTCAATTACAGATAATAACTCTTGCAATATATTAACATTCCTTAGCTTCCAAAAATATGATTTTCTAAAGGCCTCACTGCTGAGTAGAGTTCAAAGAACCACTTTATATATAGATAAAATTAATTATGGAGCACAAATGTCTGTGTAACAGTATACCTCCTCAAGCTTGACCAATCTGAGTCTCCTGGAATTTGGGACATTTGAACATCTGTCAATCAGCCTATTCTTGCACAGACAACAACTCACAGTTATTCTGGAAGGTAGTATTTGAAAACTAAACAACCAGTGACATTAAGTGTCTTCAGGAAAAAGTAAAGAGCAGGGGAACCAAGTCTAGATCTATGGCCACTTGTTATTCATCTAAGTAAGCTGATCTTATAGGCCTGAGGTTATTACTTCATGAATTGATAGCACTCCCTTATAAAGTTGTTCTGGTTAAAAAAAAAAAAAGAGGATATTATCAAAGTCTTTGAAAGTATTGCACAGCACTACAACAAGTACATTATTAGTAAAATCAACTTCATACAATCCTTCCTTTTTGTAAACAGAATTCAAAATTCTACTATAATAGAGAATACAGTAAGTGCACATATACAACTGAAAGAGAGAATTTTATCAGACTCTGGTATATACCATTCATCCTAAGAAATGGAACATGATTGATGTATTTGAACATCCCAGTTACCTGTTTTCATTCCAGAATATAACATTCATGCTACTTACCTGATTAAAATACTAGTAACCACGGCATTTATGAGTCTGTAATCTTCTATCCAGATTTTCATCTTCCTTCAATACTTCTCTATGAATATATGTTTGTCCTCCAACTTCTAGAATATTTTTCTCAGAGCAATATTTGACATTTTTATCAAACTGTGAAATAATCCCTAAGGTTAAAAGAACATTGACATGTATATAAAGTAGAAAAATGAACTACAGTGAAGTTAGTGACTGCCACATTGTATGCAAGGACAATGGACAAGTCTTTCTGTGAAATTATGAAAGGAAAGCAAGCCAACAACTGCCTCACAGCTGCATATCACATACACATAGTTCTACCTTCAGTTTAAACCAAAGGATTTGTTTAGGGTAGGAACAAAATTCAATTAACATTTTCATGTTGACTTTTCTACGTAGTTTTTGCTATCATATTAAAGGGTAGATGTATTACTGATGAGGTAAAGGCCCTAGATTAATATTCAGTATTTCCAAAAAAGGAAAATAATAACAAATTAAAGACTAATAAAATTTGCTTTTCTTTTAAAGAGAAAAGCTGTCAGAAAATGTTCATATTCTGGAGGAGTCTCATGAAAGACAGCTCTTTAAATATGTAGTCTGACACACACCCAGGCAGCTGACGGCATCACTCACCTGAGCAAGTGGTGGAAAAATCTCCTGGCATACTTGCTGATCTGGTCTCTGTATTCCAAAACAGTGGTATCCAGAAGTGGTCTTGCTGGAGCATAGAAAGTTCCAAGGCTTGCCTCAAGCTGTGCTGTGGAATTCAAACATAGGAGCATTAAAACAAGAGAAACTCTTTCAATTACAACACAATATTCCTGTTTGCAGTCAGTCAGGTTCTGCAAACTTGGATGAAATGTGAGCTTGTTGCAGGAAAGATGAAATTAAAATATGACAGCTGGTATAAAACCAAACCTGTGTATAAATTGTCACTTGAGACAAAGCTGACAATGACTCTAAGCAACAAAAAGCTGTCACAACTGAAGAAATCCATAATGAACTGACCTCTCACCACAAATGGGTTAATTAAAACAGTGACTCATCAAAGTAACTTGTTTTGAACTAGTATTTCCAGTAAAATCAATCTGCAGTGTGCTCAACATTATGTGTTCTCCTTAGCAGAAAGGAGAAAGCTAACTTTTTGAATAGGAAAATGAAATTAGCACAGTAGAAATGTTTTCTTAAAAAATACCAATAAGGGGCCAGTAAGACACCTCAGCAAGTAAAGACATTTGCTGTCAAGCCTGATGACCTGAGTTCAATCTCCAAGACCCATGTGGTAGAGGAAAGAAATGACTCCTACAAGATCTCTGACCTCCATACATTCACCACAGCTAATGTGCATGGGTGCATGTACACACACACACACACACACACACACACACAGAGAGAGAGAGAGAGAGAGAGAGAGAGAGAGGAAACAGATATAAACATATACATAATATGTTAAATAATACAAATAAAAACTTGTATATTGGAGTAAGATATGTCTGTGATGCAATTTTAGGAGAACAATAAAAATCTGTATCTAGTGCCTAAAGCTGCCACATACAAGGTTCTGTGTTTTGTCCTTTCATGAAAGCAAACACCCTGGGATAGGAGAAAGCTGGAAAGATGTTTTTCATAAATGGGGGAGGCTCGAAGATAAGAGATTAGGGGATAAGGAGTGGCCTGTCTACTTAACAGTTTTACCAAGATATGCCAGTGGGTCTGTGCTTCTGCCCAGAAATACCTGGAAGTAATTACCATATGGAGAGAACATGAGTATGTATGAGTATACTACAGTTCACAGTTAGATTCCTCTGATATTTATGCTTCCAACAATGGATTGAATAAACAACTCATTATTTAACAAAACTCTCTTAGTTGTAGCCTATTTAGATTTCCAAGTAGTAAATACCCTGTCAAAGTAATTGCTATGGCTTGACTAAGCTTCAGTAATGTCTTTATTTTTTTCAGTCTCAAATATAGACAGTGAAATAGGATGCATTTTGAGGGTATTTTCTTTCAAAGCAGCAGTCAATTTAGATTAAAATTGAACATAGCACTGTTACTGTGAAAACAAGCCAGACTCTCTTGCTATTGCTTGTTTTCCTGACAGCATGTTCCGTACATCTGAAATGTTCAAGCCTACATGGAATACGTGTAACTCCCAGCACAGCTACGGATTCATTAGGCTGCCCAGCTTGATGTTTAAGGCAGAATGAAGATCTCAAAGACAGACACAACACGTCTAGAAATAACAGCACACTAGGTTTCACTAATAAAAGGACAATAAATTACCATGTCAAATTTGTTAGATTCAGATAAAATAAATCTCAACAGGGAATTCTGAATGTTTTAGAAATGTGTTTTGTAGTTACTTGAGAGGAAATGCTCATATCTACTTAGCATATACATACTCAGATAAACAAGGAAATGGTATAGATTTTGTTTTAATAGCCTAATATCATAAAAGCTTTTCATTTCTCTATCTCTCCAATACGATTCTATGCAAAAAAAAAAAATCCTTTGTTAGGATAGGAATCTAATAATGCCCATTTGTGTATTTCTTTATAATCTTTCTTACAACCCAGCAATTTAATAACACAAATTCACTAAGGTATTAGCAACTTCTCAGTGTCTTGAGTGAAACTCAATATTTTATCACCCCATATTCCTTCTTTAGCTATAAACTTGGGGCTTATTACACAGAGCATGTATATCACTATAGACTTTGGAGACTCTGCTCTTTTGTTTTTGTGTTACTTTTAAGTACATAATCAATCTTGAGAAGTGTATTGATATTAGACAAATAATTACTTGAGATAACTCTGTATGTAAGCAAAATTATAATAACTCTTTATCCCCTAAAATCTTTGGGTATACTTTTTATTTTTAACCTATATTTCTTGAGTATCAACAGTGAGCCTTGCACTGTGGTAGGCATTTTCTTCATAAACAAACACTGATGTTTCCATAGATGAGTTTGGACTACTTCCAAAAAATTCAGTTGATTCTTAAACACATATTACTAGGGGATTCTGGGAGTTAGGTAAAGGTCCATAATATAAACTTCCTAGAGATTCATGAGGTTACCAGTCAACTACAGAATTTTATCAGAAAAAAATATTATTTATTTTGGAAATGTAATAAAAATGAAGAAAGCCTATTAAAACACACTGAAAATACTAAGAAAGAAAATGGTCTCCAGTAAAAGACCTGCCCTAAATTTCTTACTCTGTATTATTTAGTAATACTGTTTAGTTGTAATTCCTAATGTTAATATTAGTAATACAAAGATATGAAATAAATGTACAAACCCTAGCTACTTTAGTATATTTTATATCTTATAAGGGAATAACAAGTCATAAATACATGCTAGAGAACCAGGAGATAAAAAAATCTGTTTTCATATCTTATATGTCATTTGTTCACTCAGTGTTTTCTACCTCAACAATAAACATCTTGGATTTCTATGGGCTAATTACTAAGAAAAGGTGCGGAAATCCAAGCAGGAGAAGGGAGATGTCCATCAAAAGCACATGTCCAGAGTATGGAAACAAGGAAGAGCAGCCTAGGCTACAGACAACTCTGACACACACAAAGGGGAGTGTAAGCAACTACAGTCTAGACAGAGAACTATGTGTGAAAAAATATATTGGTGTTTAATGTGAGAGAGGAATAAGACCTTGGTCCGGTGTCCATCATCAGTAGAAAAAAAAAAAGCATAAATAAAATTTCTGATCAAATCTTGAAATCTGAGCATATTCCACACATGAGCTTGACTGTGTTGTATAACAATAACACTGTAAGTTTCAACACAAGCACTGGCAAAAAGGTGTCCTCTATGTTGACAAATACCACACAGGAAGTACTATTTGGGAATAATTCTTTGGTATTCTTTAAGTTTTAAAACAGCATTAATACTTTTGTCCTCCGTCTCCAATAACATAACTAACAAACATCCTAAAACTGACTCAAATGGATTTCAATGCACACTCAAAATCACGGATGCGATGTATTCAGGTCAGACCTTCTCTCTCTGGAGTGAGCCTTTGTCTAAGGAGATGGTTCACGATGGCGCTCATGCTGACAAAGCACTGCTGGCCCAGGGTGTCCCAGTTCATGCTGCTCAGGGTGTTTATTGCTTCATTCACCTCATCACAGTGGATGTACTGGAAGATGAGTTCTACCAGGCCCAGCTGTCCTCGAGTGAGGACACCTGTCACAAGACAAGTGAAACCAGGTGAATATTAAAGATATGAAGTAAAAACATAATAAATAAATAAATAAATAAATAAATAAATAAATAAATAAATAAATAAATAAATACAAAGTAAAGTAATAAAGCCAAACACTTTTTACACAAAGGAAAAAATATACTGTAAAATCAGAGGCACATTGGTTAGCCCTTTCAAAAGGAAATAAATCCACTTCCAATCTTGAAAAAGCAGGAACATCAAAAAGCAAAAAAGGTTCAGGCAGTCATCTAGTTTTATTTTGAAAAGGCCAATGGCATTTGAAACTGACAGTTTTACATGTTAAATGACAAACACTGAGGCTTTTAAGCACTATTCTGTTTTGATTGTTTTGTTTTGTTTTTCATCTTTTAAAAATGAACTGGGAAGATGGCCCAGCTGATAAACTACTTGGTGTGTAAGCATCGGGACCCAAGTTCAAGCCTCCAGAAGCCAACATAAAAAATTAGGCACAGCAGTGTATGCCTGTGATCCCAGTTCTGAGGAAATGAAGCCAGGGCATCCTGAGAGCTTGCTGGCCAGACTAGTGGAATGGGAGAGATTCAAGTCCAGAGAGAGACCAGAAAGATGAAAAGCAAGTGAGAAAGTTCTGAATTGACTTCTGGCCTCCACAAACATAAGCATATGTAATTATACACACAAACATGTAAATATCCATATACACCAAAGGAAAAATATTAAATGCTAACTATAATTTTTTCTTCAGTGTTTTATTGATTTAGGTAAGACTATAAAAACTCAGCACAAATAATCATAAAACTAAATGAGAAAATGTCTGTGAAATTATTTTATAAGCTATAAAATAGTATAAAACATTACTGTAATTCTTTTTATTACTGTCATCAGAATTTAACTGGAATATTTATAGGTTTCATGATTCTCAAAATATATTAGTTCATGAGAAAGATGCTGAAAGTCTTCATTCTAACTCCAAGTTACATAAAAAGAAAAAAAAAAAAACTAATTTGTGCTGTATCTAACAAGACTCAACTTGATAGGGAATCTGGGGAATTGCCCTGAGTATCCTAAGCAGTAAAACTTTACTATTGCTTTTGAGTCGGTAGAATCAACAGATGTAACTACCCAAAGCCTCAAGAGCCTGCCTGTGTCAAGCACTGGAAGTCCTAGTCATAAATCAGGCAGCTCCTGGCAGTAGATATTGATGTGTAACAACTTTGCAGGAATTGAAAATAGTCTCTTTCTCCCAACCTCTATCAAAACATCAATTCTACTAGCAATAGGAGAAGAAAGGAAGCTGCTCTGAACAAATGCTATAGATGATCACAGTCAAATAGATCAAAATAAAGACAAATTTTTTAAATGGCGGTAGAGGAGACACAGGGCAAAAAAGCAAGAAATGAATGATAATAGGCTTTGCATCTGAAATTATGCAAACTAGAAAACAACAGGAAGACATTTTTAAAGGGCTTAAGATAAAAATAAAAATAACCTAGAATTCTAAACTCTTATAATAGAGGATTCAAAATTCATGAAGAAATAGAAAAGTCTTTAAAAATATCTAATAATAGAGTTTTGAATAATGCAACAAGAATGGACAGAACTGAATGGGGTGGAAGGACCTAAGTAGACAGCTGGATTCCAGTGTATCTTTCATGAATCAGAGACTATATAAACAGAAATTCTGGAAAAATACTTGAGAAAACACTATCAGTGAAAAATTTCTTTCTTCCTTCCTTTCTTTCTTCCTTCCTTCTTTCCTTCCTTCCTTTCTGTCTCTCTCTCTCCCACTCCCTCCCTCCACCCCCTCTCCTTCCCTCCCTTTTTTCTTTCTAAATACAGGTCATATGTAGTCCAGGTTAGCTTCAGACTATATAGCAGAGGATGATCTTGAACTTCTGACCCTTTGGCTTCTACCTCCCCTGTGCTAGGATTACAGGTATGCATAACCATTCCTATTCCAAATAAACTACAACCCTAACCTGACATTTGTAAGACATTTTATCCAACAACAGTGGAACATATATTCTTTTTTGAGGACACAGAGAACATGATCCAAGCTAAAGCATGTTCAGAGTAATTAAAACATCCTACAGTACATCTCAGAGATTTGAAATCATATGACTAGATTAGATTATCTAACATCAAAGGAATTAGATATAAAAACAGAGAGAGATTCCGGCCCCCACAGAGTGCAGAGAGTGCAGAGGTGAGCTGCTTTGGCCCCTGCCTTTGGCCCAACTTCCACCTGCCCAATCTGTGAAATCCTGCTCAGGGGTCTGCAGGCAGACTGAATCAGCCCCTGAGGACCCAGGGACCCTGACTCTGCTGAGATCACTGGGCTATTCTGGCCCCCACAGAGTGCAGAGGGGTCTGCAGACAGGTTGACTCCACCCCTGAGGACCAAGCAACCCAAGTCTGCTGACATCTCTGCACCAGTCCTGCTCTCACCCACCTGGAGGGCCAGTGCCTCAGACCTGCCTGCGCCTACCTTGAGACCCATCAGAGTATCAGAGCCAACTGCACCTACCTGAAGAGAACATTGGACCCATACACACCAGGAAAAGGAAGTGACACTACCTGTACCCACTGGAAGAAGACATGGAAAGACGACAATATAAGAACACATCCAACAACAGGAAAACCAGTATGTCATCACCAGACTCTAGGGACTCTACACCAGCAAGACATGAACATCCCAACACAGAAGAATCAGAAGAGCGCAACCTCAAAAACAACTTCATGCAGATGATAGAGAACCTAAGAGAGGAAATCAGAAAATCCTTCAGAGAAATGGAAGAAAACACGAACCAAAAGATGCAAGAAAGCAAGGAAAGCCAAAAAAAGCCAAGAAAATACAATTAAACAGCTGAAGGAAACAGTCCAGGACCTGAAAACTGAAATAGAGACAATAAAGAAAACACAAACTGAGGAAATGCTGGAAGTGGAAAAGCTGAGTAAACAATCAGGAACCACAGATGCAAGCATAACCAACAGAATACAAGAGATGGAATACAGAATCTCCGATGCTGAAGATAAACTAGAGGAAATAAATTCTTCAAGCAAAGAAAATCTTAAGTCCAACAAATCCTTAACACAAAATATCCAGGAAATATGGGACACCATGAAAAGGCCAAACCTAAGGATAATAGGCATAAAAGAAGGTGAAGAAACCCAACTTAAAGGTGCAGAAAACACATTCAACAAAATCATGGAAGAAAACTTTCCCAACCTAAAGAAAGACATGCCAATGAAAGTACAAGAAGCCTACAGAATGCCAAATAGAGTGGACCACAAAAGAAAGTCCCCTCGTCACATAATAATTAAAACACCAAATGTACAGAATAAAGAAGGAATATTAACAGCAGCAAAGGAAAGAGGTCAAATAACATATAAAGGCAAACCTATCAGAATTACACCAGATTTCTCCATGGAAACTTTGAAAGCCAGAAGGACGTGGATAGATATTCTACCAACTCTGAGAGAACATGGATGCCAGCCCAGATTACTATACCCAGCAAAGCTTTCAATCACTATAAATGGAGAAAACAAGATATTACATGACAAAGCCAGATTTAAACAATATGTAACCACTAATCCAGCCCTACAGAAAGTACTGGAAGGAAAACTCCAACCTAAGGAAATTAACTACACTCACATAATTATAGGCAATAGATAATCCCACATTACAAAAACCTAAAAGAAAAATCAGGGTAAATCCACATACAATACCACTACCAATAAAAACAAACAAGAATAAACACTCAATGGACCTCAATTTCCCTCAATATTAATGGTCTTTACTTGCCTATAAAAGACACAGGCTAACAGATTGGATACGAAGACAGAATCCATCCTTCTGCTGCATACAAGAAACACACCTCATATTCAAAGACAGACATTTCCTCAGAGTAAAGGGTTGGGATATGATATTCCAATCAAATGGACCTGAAAAAACGAGCTGGGGTAGCTATCCTAGTATCTAACAAGTTAGACTTCAAATTAAAATCAAAAGAGATGAAGGTCATTTCATATTCATCACAGGAAAAATCCATCAGGAAGAAGTCTCAATTCTAAACCTCTATGCCCCAAATATAAAGGAACCAACATTCATAAAAGAAACATTATTAAAACTCAAATCACAAATAAGACCACACACAGTTATAGTGGGAGACTTCAACGCCCCACTCTCACCACTGGACAGGACCACCAGACAGAAACTTAACAGACAGACAAAGGAACTAACAGAAGTTATGACCCAATTGGGATTAACAGACATCTATAGAACTTTGCATCCAAAACAAAAGGATATACCTTCATTTCAGTATCACATGGAACCTTCTCAAAAATCAACCACATACTTGGCAACACAGCAAACCTCAACAGGTCTGAAAAAATTAGAATAATCTCCTGTGTCTTATCAGACAACCATGCTTTAAAGTTAGAAATCAAAAACAACACAAATTGCAGAAAACCTACCAACTCATGAAAATTGAACAACATGAGGGCAAGGAAGAAATAAAGAAAGAAATTAAAGACTTCCTGGAATTCAATGAAAATGAAGACACAACATACCCAAACTTATGGGATATTTTGAAAGCAGTACTAAGAGGAAACTTCATAGCTCTAAGTGCTCACATGAAGAAACTAGGGAATAGTCACACCAGAGAGATGACATCACAGCTGAAAGCTCTAGAACAAATGGAAGCAAATTCACCTCAGAGGAGTAGATGCCAGGAAAAAATCAAACTGAGGGCAGAAATCAATAAGGTCTGAAACAAAGAAAACAATTCAAAGAATCAATGTAACAACTAGTTGATTCTTCAAGAAAATCAACAAGATAGACAAACCTTTATCCAAATTAACCAAAGGGCAGAGAGAGAACATGCAAATTAACAAAATCAGAAATGAAAAAGGGGACATAACAACAGACACTGGAGAAAATATTCAGGTCATACTTTGAAATCCTGTACTCCACAAAATTTGAAAATTTAAAGGAAATGGA